TAGTCACTAGGGAAATGCAAGTTAAAATCACAATGAGGGCTTCCCTGGTGGCGCAGTGGTTGAGAGTCCGCCTGCCGATGCAGGGGACACGGGTTCGTGCCCCGGTCCGGGAAGATCCCACATGCCGCGGAGCGGCTGGGCCCGTGAGCCATGGCTGCTGAGCCTGCGCGTCCGGAGCCTGTGCTCCGCGGCGGGAGAGGCCACAACAGTGAGAGGCCCGCGTACCGCAAAAAAAAAAAAAAAAAAAAAAAAAAATCACAATGAGATATCACTACACACCCGCTAGAATAGCTAAAATTAAACATTAAAAATCCAACTTTTCCCAAGGATATGAAGCAATTTCAACTTTCAGACATTGCTGTTGGGGGTATAAAATAGTACAAACACTTTGGAGACCTATTTGGTTGTTTCTTATGAAAGCTGTCACCATATGACCTAGCAGTTCCATTATTAATCCAAGGGAGAAGAAAGCAAATGTCCACCAAAAAAAAGCTTGTACTTTAACGTTCAGAGAAGTTTTATTCATAATAACCACAAACTGGAAACAACACAAATACCCATCAACAGGTGAATGAATGGATAAATACATTTGGCATATCTATACAATGGAATATATTTCAGCAATAGAAAAGAATGATCTATTCGATACATGCAGCAATGTGGATGAATTTTAAAATATTAAAACATATACATAACAGTGTATGATCCATCCATATGAAATTCTACAGCAAGCGAAACTATAGTGACAGAACACAAATCTACTGTTGCTTGGAGCTGAAGGCAAGAATCAGTACAAAGTGTATAAGTAAACTTTTGGGGGTGATGGAAATTTTCTGTATCTTGATTTTCACCATGGTAACATGGATGCAAACTTTTGTCATACTAGGTGAACTATACAATCAGTTCTACTACAATGTTTTCAAAACTGCAAACTTGTTTTAACACGATAACAAAAATTTTTAGTATTAACTTGACTTTTGATTTTACCTGTGATTTCATCCACTAAAAATACAAGATGAACACAGAAAGCTGCACACAACTGAAATAAGCCAAGTATAAGTATATACCATGCCAACCTTTGTGCTATTTTCCTTCATTTTACTTCAAACTGTTATAAACCCCACCATACACTGTTATTACATTTGCTTTTAAAAGGTAATTTTTTTTAAAGAAAGGATAAAAATCAGAAAAGCATTTTTCATAGTTTCCCACAAATTTTCCATTTCTGGCATTCTTCATTCATTTGTATGGAACTGGGTTTATACTGGTATCAGTTTTCTTCCTCTAGAAGGACTTCCTTTAACACTTCTTGTAATTCAGGTCTGCTGGAAATAATTTTTCTGTGTTTTATTTGTCAAAAAAGTCTTTATGCTTCTCTCATTTTTGAAGGATATTTTCATTTGATATAGAATTCTACATTAACTTTTTTTTGGCGGTACATGGGCCTCTCACTGTTCTGGCCTCTCCTATTGCAGAGCACAGGCTCCAGACACGCAGGCTCAGTGGTCATGGCTCACAGGCCTAGCCGCTCCGCGGCATGTGGGATCTTCCCGGACCAGGGCACGAACCCATGTCCCCTGCATCGGCAGGCGGACTCTCAACCACTGCGCCACCAGGGAAGCCCTACATTAACTTTTTTTTAAGCATGTTAAAGTTATCATTCCATTCCCTATTTGGCTTGCATTATTTCTGACAAGAAATCAGTAATTCTTATCTTGGTACCCCTGTATTTAATGTTTCTTTTTCTCTCTGGCTGCTTTTGAGTTTTATGTTACCACTGGTTCTCAACAAATTGAATATGATATGCCTTAGAATGGTTTTCCTTTCAATTATCCTGCTTGAAGCTCATCTGCTTAGATTTAGAAATCATAGTTTTCATCCTGTTAAAAATTAAACCATTATTACTTCAAATATATATTTTCTGGCTCCTCTCCCCTGCCCTTTTCAGATACTCCAATTACACGTACATTAGATCACTTTGAATATTCCTCAGATCACTGAGGATCTGGCCTTTTATTACTATTTTCATTCTGTACCTCAATTTGTATAGTTCCTATTGCAGTATCTTTAAGTCATGCTTCTTCTGCAGTGGCTATAGGTGTTAATCCATTGGTGAATTTTCCGTTCAGATACTGCATTTCCAAAGGGCATTGCAGCTCTAAAGCTCCCTTTGCCTTCTTTAATGTCTTCCATTTCTCTCCTCATTATGCTCGTGTTTTTCATTATATACGTGTACATATTTACTATAGTTGTTTTAAAGCCCTTGTCAGCTACTTCATTCATCTCCATAATTTGAGTTTCTATTGACTGATTTTCTTCCTTACATATTCCTTCCATTTTGCATGTCATAATTTTTATTGGGTACCAGACACCATAAAAGTTATGTTCTTAAAATTTTGGATTTTGTTTTCTGCATTTAGAGAGTGTTGAATTTGGCAGGCAGTTAACTTCCTTGCCAGTCAATTTGATCCTTTTGAGGTTGTTTTTAAAGTGTTATTGGTGGTCCAGAGTAGCCTCTACTCTAGAGCTCTTTCAGCCCTATTTGAAGGCACAATTCTGGGGTATCTACTGAATGCCCAGGATTTTCAACAATGTCTTGCCACTCTGGTGGTCAAAACTCAAATGTCTCTCAGCCACATATAAGTTCTGGGAATTGTTCAACTTAAAGCTCCCCAATAATTGCATTTAGTCTAGCCTTGTGGCATTTCAATCTATGCAGGCCCATCTTAGCACAGAGCAGAAGTCTCAATGAACCCCCCTGCAGAGTCCTGGAGCTTCCCTGCATAGCGCCTACATCTCTGGTGTCATGCCTCACAAACTGAAGCTGCCACAGCCTCCCCCAAATCTGATCTCAGTGACTTCTATAAAGAGACCGCCATGCTTTCCTTGGTTTCCCTCTTCCTGTGCAGGGTCTGGAAAGTGACATCAGGCAGAATGCTGAGGCTTTTGTACAACTTGTTTCCATCCATTCAGAGAACACACACCCGTACTGCATGTTTTCCAAGGTCAGCAAACAGTAGCTTCAAATATTTTTCTCCAGTTTTCTAGCTGTTCACAGGTAGAGGGCAAGTCTGGTATACGTTATTCCATTATGGGCGGAAAAGGAAAGCTAGAATTTTTTTTTTTAACCTAGTTTGAGCTATTTACATGTTGAGGCTCACATATTATCCTAGTATTTATGATAACAGCAGTTGATTATACCTTCATTTTATAAAATAATTTCATTTACATTACCTGAGTAGTTTTCACAACACTTTGAGTTAATAAAGGTGACCTTTCTTATGATTGTGTTACAGTCAAAACGATTGAGGCTCACAAGAAAAGTGAATGCTCAAGGTAACATACTTAGTAAGAGTTGGAGCCGGGAATATGACATTAGCATAAACTACTACTGCTAAAACTTATCTCCTGGTTTCATCTATATCACCAAACTCTTTTATTTTTCATCCATCCTTCCTTCCTTCTTTATCCCCTTCAGGTTTTTTTTTTTTTTTAATTTTTTTTAACATCTTTATTGGGGTATAATTGCTTTACAATGGTGTGTTAGTTTCTGCTTTATAACAAAGTGAATCAGTTATACATATACATATATTCCCATATCTCTTCCCTCTTGAGTCTCCCTCCCACCCTCCCTATCCCACCCCTCCAGAGGGTCACAAAGCACCGAGCTGATCTCCCTGTGCTATGCGGCTGCTTCCCACTAGCTATCTACCTTACGTTTGGTAGTGTATATATGTCCATGCCTCTCTCTCACTTTGTCACAGCTTACCCTTCCCCCTCCCCATATCCTCAAGTCTGTTCTCCAGTAGGTCTGTGTCTTTATTCCTGTCTTACCCCTAGGTTCTTCATGACATTTTTTTTCTTAAATTCCATATATATGTGTTAGCATACGGTATTTGTCTTTCTCTTTCTGACTTACTTCACTCTGTATGACAGACTCTAGGTCTATCCACCTCATTACAAATAGCTCAATTTCGTTTCTTTTTATGGCTGAGTAATATTCCATTGTATATATGTGCCACATCTTCTTTATACATTCATCCGATGATGGGCTCTTAGGTTGTTTCCATCTCCGGGCTATTGTAAATAGAGCTGCAATGAATATTTTGGTACATGACTCTTTTTGAATTTTGGTTTTCTCAGGGTATATGCCCAGTAGTGGGATTGCTGGGTCATATGGTAGTTCTATTTGTAGTTTTTTAAGGAACCTCCATATTGTTCTCTATAGTGGCTGAACCAATTCACATTCCCACCAGCAGTGCAAGAGTGTTCTCTTTTCTCCACACCCTCTCCAGCATTTATTGTTTCTAGATTTTTTGGTGATGGTCATTCTGACTGGTGTGAGATGATATCTCATTGTAGTTTTGATTTGCATTTCTCTAATGATTAATGATGTTGAGCATTCTTTCATATGTTTGTTGGCAGTCTGTATATCTTCTTTGGAGAAATGTCTATTTAGGTCTTCTGCCCATTTTTGGATTGGGTTGTTTGTTTTTTTGTTATTGAGCTGCATGAGCTGCTTGTAAATTAATCCTTTGTCAGTTGCTTCATTTGCAAATATTTTCTCCCATTCTGAGGGTTGTCTTTTGGTCTTTTTATGGTTTCCTTTGCTGTGCAAAAGCTTTGAAGTTTCATTAGGTGCCATTTGTTTATTTTTCTTTTTATTTCCATTTCTCTAGGAGGTGGGTCAAAAAGGATCTTGCTGTGATTTATGTCATAGAGTGTTCTGCCTATGTTTTCCTCTAAGAGTTTGATAGTTTGTGGCCTTACATTTAGGTCTTTAATCCATTTTGAGCTTATTTTTGTGTATGGTGTTAGGGAGTGATCTAATCTCATACTTTTATGGTGTTAGGGAGTGATCTAATCTCTACTCTCAGTACCTGTCCAGTTTTCCCAGCACCACTTATTGAAGAGGCTGTCCTTTCTCCACTGTACATTCCTGCCTCCTTTATCAAAGATAAGGTGACCATATGTGCGTGGGTTTATCTCTGGGCTTTCTGTCCTGTTCCATTGATCTTCCTTTCTGTTTTTGTGCCAGTACTATACTGTCTTGATTCCCTTCAGGTTTTAATTATCTTTCATCTTAGGTTTTAATCATCAGCTTTATCATTTTAGCATAGTCAAAATTTTTAAAGAAGCAACTTATTCTCTAACATATCGCTTTGAAAAATGCTACTTTGTAATTCACTACCATAAATTATTTTTAATTTTAATTTCAAGTGGCAAGCTATAATCAATATATATCATACCATAACCAATATACTCCCAAACTATAGAGGCCTCTAAAGGTCTCCCTAACCCCCAAACTGTCAGTATTCACGTGTAACCCTGTATCTGCATCATCTTTCCTCCTCTTTCAAGTCATTTCCCCTAACTTACTTTGACCTATGAAGCTGCAGCAAACTTCTCAGAATTTTTCCTAGTCCAAAAGAAAAAAAAATCAATTAAATATTAAAATAGAAAGGAACACAAAAAATTTTAAACAAGAATAAAATAAAAGTAAGCCAGCTCCTCAGTTAGCATGACTAAGTAATAGATTTAAATGACAGCTTTCTAAGAATGAGTCCCATTTCTCTCAGTATAATATAGGGCCAACCAACAATGGCAATACTTAAGAAAATTTTAAGACTCAGCTGATCACCTTGTACCTTGAGGTACAAGATGAAAAGAGCGTTTTAATCTTCCATCACGCTTCTATTCAACAGTGTGACTACGTGGAGCACTGTACTGAGAAAAAAAAATCTGAGACCACATAGAAATCAGTGGGAGAACATTCTGTGAGTCACGTCATCTGTCATAGTCTGCCTGGTTGGAAACAAGGGATGACAGAATGTGAGCCAGGTATTTGCAGTCTCCAGTCTAGGGTAAGAGTAGTAATATTTGAAATTGCATAATATACCAGGAACAATAATTTTAAAACCTTAAACACCTAATTTTACCAAACATGGGATTTAGATATAAAGAAGGGGTAATGCTCAAAACCAGGTTCTAGAGTCTGATGGAGGGCCCTTTATTACATAGGATAATCCAAACCAAATTAATCCTTTCCCTAGAAGATAGGAACTTGTTGGAGTCAGAGAATAACAGATTTCTTCCATCTCTTTTAATTTTTTAAAGAAAAAGTTATTTTATAAATCCCATAAAACTCTAGATTACCTGATAATTTTTTTTTTTTTTAACAAAATAGAGGCTTTAACCAAACAGCAGTAAAGGTATAAGGGGCTGGAAGGCCTGAGGGGGCACAAGGCAGGAGGAGCCAGGAAGGTGGTGACCCTTGGAAGGAGGGAGGCACTGGGCCTCTCCTGGGAAAACTATCTGACTCTTGTGGCTCCTGTCCCAGCCTCTGCCCAGATCACCAGCCCAGATGCAAGGGACAAGCCCTTGTATTGTGCTTCTCAGGTGATCCCTTTTTCCAAAGGGCATGTGGGCCCCAATACAGAGAGAGGGTAATGAAGAAGGGCAGGAGTGCTGACATGCCAGCAACCCCTCACCCCTAGGGCAGGTCTGCCCAGCCCGGGCCTTGCCCGACCTCAGAGCCAACTTCAGTCACTGGGGAGTAACACCCTACATTCTGTCTTCCCCACTAATGGGATTTTTACATTCTTCAAAAATTACTGGACCACGTCACGTTCAGCAAAATGGTTAAAATGAAAAAGATAAACCAATTACCGGCAAGGATATAGATCAGTGGGAACTCTCACACACCGTTGGAAATATTGGTACAACTACTTTGGAAGACTGTGAAGCATTATCTACTATAAATGAACATACACCTAACTTATGATCCAGCAATTCTGCTCTTAGGTATATATCTAAGGGAAATGCATACATATGTTCACCAAAAGAAGTGAACAAGAATGTTAATAAACAGCATTATTTGTAAAATCCCTAAAATCTCCCCCCGAAAAACTGTATAGGAATGTTCAGAATAGCATTATTTGTAATACCTCAAACTGTAAAGAATCCACATGTCCATCAACAGTAGAATGGATAAATTGTGATATATTCACACAATGGAATATTAAAACAGCAATGAGAATTAATAAAATATAAATACATACAACATGGATGAGTTTCATAAACATACTGAGTGAACCCGGGCCTCCCCCCAAAAATGCATATGGTAATTGTTATTCCATTTACATAAAGTTCAAAAAGAGGAATAACAAATACATGTTCTTAGAAGTCATGATAGTGGTTACCTTGAAGAGGAGTATTTTTCAAGGAGGGAACAAAGGGGTTTCTGGGGTACTGGTATTATCTACTTCTTGACCTATATGCTAGGTACATGTTCACTTTAGGAAAATTCATCAAGTTGTTCATAGTTATAAATTTGTGTTGTAAGTCAATAAAAAGTTTCCTTAAAATTACTGGGCAATACCAACAATATACAGCTACATAAGAGAGCTACAACTTGAATCCTTATAGTTTGTCTCTAGGGTCTGTGCTCTTAACCACTATACTATTTTAGCAATCTACCTTAAAGAAGTACTTGCTAATACTATCTATTTTTAAATATGAAAAACCTACATATGTCAACAGGCAATTAACTGTAAATGTAGGAACATAATTTGTACAAGTATAGAAGATCCACATGGAGCCACAAGGGAGGCTGATTGGGAGAATCATAGAAGTTTTGCTGTATCTGATTTAAACTTTTTACCATGGGAATCTGTTCATGTGTTCCTATTTATGTTTAATAAAATGAAATTGACATTTCTCCCCTCCAAAAAATAAATGGGCAACATTTTTTTTGCATTCAAAGAATATTTGCTATGTATGTAAAAATACTTTGAGTAACAAAGTAAATGTTTTTACTCAAAGAAATACATTGATTTCATAGAAATCATAGGAAGAGACATTTAATAAATATTCAAGGAATGAATGACCCTTAGAGATTTGTTGACCCTCCTATCATTGCTATTAATTCTTCCTAGTCATTCATCAGAGATAGTGATGTGGTATAGTGGGCATCTATTGGTCTTGCCTGCCCAGCACCCAGTGAGCCCCTTCTTTTGGTAAAGGCATTTCAATATTCCCCCTGGGCAATTTCTTCTACCCTACTGCATGCAGTTTTGGTGAGATTATCAATTCTGCCTTCTCCTGACCAAGGAGTGGGCGTGTAAACTAAACTAGGCCAAACAGACTCTTTCTCCTTAAAATTTAAATCTTGAGTAGAGTGACACAAGGTCAGAAAACAAATTCACCTTGACAGTAGCTCTCTGAAGAAGCTGTCCATTGGTTCCTGCTACTTAGATGCCTTAAGCTGCACTGCTTCCTATCCTTTCCAAGTACCAGTTGTTTAACTTTTCCTTAGATTCTGTGAATCACTACATATCCTTACATTACATTTCTTCTCTGGTTAATTTCTGTTGACTGTAACTGAGGAAACACTGAAACAGTTGGATGTAAATATATTCAATAAAAAGGTTACTACAACTTTGCAAGGAAGTCCATAGTATTTAACTTTTGCTTAACTTTTTGCCAGAATTTGTTTCCCTATAAAGTCTACATTAGTCCTACCTCTACTTCTGGAGCTTCATAGTATAAATATACTCCATCTTCTAAATGGCACACATTTAAAACTCTATCATTTATCCCCAAACACTTTCTCAGCAAAATAATTTATTTTCAAATTAAAACATATATGACTACTACACACTCACTAGAATGGCTATAATAAAAAAGACAGACAATTCCAAGTGTTGACAAGGATGTGGAGAGACTGGAACCCTTATGCACTACTGGAGGGAATGTAAAATTGTATAACCACTTTGGAAAGCAGTTTATATAGTTTATATATTTACATAATTTACACAATATTTTTAAATAGACTTTACAAATAATCATCTAGGCAATGTCATCCTAGGCAACAATGCCCATGAAGTCATGGTCATTTAGGTGCAAGTTATATTTTCCTATAATATAGTAAAACATACTAAACCCTTAAAGATGTGGCTCACTTACCATCAAAATTCATTTCTTTGTCTTCCTTGGTACACTTATTGCCCTTTGGGAAACACTGGGTTATTCAACTTAAAATTTACATAAATTAATTTTCATTAAAGTAATTACCAACTTAGGAAACAATACTATAAAGTTTTATGCAACATATGACAAGATATAGGAAGTGTTAAACCTTTCATTTAGCAAATACTTGAAAATGCTTTTGGTTGGCTTTTTTCAAATAAAAGTGACTAAAGAGCTGGAGATGTGGGAAACCGCCAAAGCCAAGACATCTCCCTTCCTACCCTATACCCAACATGATCACAACCATGTTATTTCAGGGAGAAAAAGGAGACCTCCACATGGGAAGAAGAAAAAAAGGAAGTATACGAAATGTTAAGCAGTTATTTAAGGAATTATGGGTCATTGTTTTCTTTAAATTTTTGATTGTGTTCTTCCTTTCTCTACTTGCCCAATTTATTTAATGTCCTTCTATTTTTTAAAATAAAGCAATACAGTAAAACTTTCTGTTCCTTTGAATACCTTCAGAATGAAAACTATTATTTCAACCTATCCCTTATAATAGTTACATTTCTAATTTCATATTTTGATTCAAAAACAAAAATTTAAGTGAAGATACCAATTTCTTCCTTCTTATTTTTTAAAGTATTGATATTTATATACAACCTTTTGTGGCTAGTTCTGTTACTATGTACTCTTAAGTTCTCAAAGCACTAGAAATAGGTGTTTTGCCCATTATTACATGAAAAATACAATCCAAAGAACCTAAATGCCCTCAATGGCCAGAGTAGAACACAAAAACATTGGGTTCTGAAAAATGGACCTAAACTTTTCTTGTAATTATAGCTTGATTATTCTTAAAACTCTTTATAGGGATTTGCTTTTAATTACTCTAGCAAGGATGAGGACGAGCTAGGGAGTGGTAGGTAGATGGAAGGGATAGATGTACCTAGAACAAGAGCATAATGTTGATAATTGCTGAAGCTGGGTGGTAAGTAAATGGGTGTTCTTTTTTTCTGTATATCTGAAAAAATTCTATAATAAAAGTTAAAACTGAAACGAATTCTTTAAATTCTAAAAATGCATTATTGCAGATGACAACTAAAGCAACCTCTGTAACATGCCCAACACAGAACAAAAAATAAATAAATAAACAAAGCTCCAGGGGTCTATAAAGTATTTTTGCTATTTTAGTTGTATAGTCAAATGAGAAAACAAATATTTACCAATAAGTACACAACTATTTAAAAGTTGTATGAAAGGTTACTATTGCCACCTACTGGACACTGCGATTACTGCTTGCTATTAAAAAAAGTCACTATTGAGTAGGTCTCCCCATCCCACCACAAGTCTCTGGTCTTTAACAAGATAATAAGTAATACCATTAAACTTATGTTTACGTGTGTTTATATTAGTAATGTTAATTAATAATGTTTTATCACATCATTTCTAACAACATGAAATGCCAACTACAAAAGCTGTGTCATAAAATTTTTGTTAGAAAGTACATTGATGATCACCTTATGATGTCCTTGTTTTACAGAATATCCCAGATTTTGAATTGTTTTCCCATAGGAATTCAAATTGTTTACACATAGGGATAGACCAGGAAGCTAGAAACTAGTCCTGGCTCTTAAATTCAGTGCATTATCTTTTTTTTCATCTCAGTCTTTTAAAATCTTGACTTTTATTAAAAAATTTTCACCTCTTATAACTTGGTTAACTGCATACACCAGTGATTCTCAACCTTGCTGCACAAGAATTACCTGTCAAATTTGAAAATAAACTAATGCTGATACCAGAGCCAGAGATTTTTTTTTATCCAGGGTTTAAAGATCCATTAGTAAGTATCAGTGGTTCTCAAAATACAGTCTTTGAACCAGCAACATCATCACCTGCGAATGAAACTGAGCAGGACCCTGTGGACAAAAGCCTTTCCTTGTCCTCCACTTCCTTGCTTGTAGGAAAAAGGTTTAGCCTCTTAGATGTTCCCTGAGTTCCAGAGGGCAGATGCAAATAGAAGAGTGAAGGAATGCAGAAATAAAGGAAAGGCAGTCAAGAAACAGTGCAGCGATGCAGCGATGCAGTCCCGGTTCCTCCTCAAGAGCTATACATAACCTGATAGTTCTCCAGGAACTAAACCACCCAGGTAGAGGATGGTAACTTCAGTCAGAGCACAAGCTCTGGATCCCAGACACGTTGGAACCTGAAGGCTAATGATTGAGTTTTGTGGAACATCATCCCGTTACCTCATCACCAACCAATCAGGGGAAGGTCACTCACCTTTCAGTCCTCCCCCCACATTTTGCCTATAAAAACTCTTCCCTAAAAACCTTGGAAGAGTTCAGGCTTTTTGAGCACCAGCAGCCCATTCTCATTGTTCGGCCCTTGAAATAAACCCTTCTCTGCTCCAAACTCCAACATTTTGGTTTGTTTGGCCTCACTGTGCACCAGGTGCACGAATTGGGTTTGGCAACAGGAACTTATTAGAAATGTAAATTTTCAAGGCCCACCCCAGATGCTGACTGGTGCCAAGCAATTTGTGCCTGCAAGCCCTCCAGGTAATTTGGATGCAGGCTAATGTTTGAGAATTACTAGTATTGATATTTACCATAATTATTTAAAACTTTTTACTCTTTTTAAATATAAGATTTTAATTTACTGTTTTCTCAGAAAGAAGAAAATACATTAATAACACAAAAGAGAGAGGTTTATGTGAAGAGTAATCTAGTGCAATTCTACTATTTTTCCAGAAGCATATACCATTATGAACACTCAACATTAGTTCTAGTTAGCCAATAGGAAAAACGGGTTAGGGAATAATTTAGTCATAGGCCAGTTAATAAGACCCTGGAATGCTCTTGCCCAGAGCGTTTTCCAACCATATTTCCTTGTTCTGGTTTGTTCTGCTCAGAAAGGTATCTTTCTAAGACATAATTAAGACCTTTAGCCATATCATACCTTTTAACTCAGGAAGGTCAGTTCTAGAAATATAGAGGAAACTAAATTATGCTCAAAGATTTTCTCCAAAGTATTGTAAATAATAAGGTTAAGGGGGACCTGAAAGCAAGTTAAATGCCCCAAAACTAAGAACTGACTCCATAAATTAGAGCATCAATAGGATGAAATATTGCTCAATCATTAAAATGCTTTTCATATAAGATTTTAAATAATATGGGGAAATGCTTACTTTATATAACATCATGTGCGTACACGTTCCCTCTGTTTCTCTGTCTCTCATTCTCTGTCAATTGAAAAAGATAATGGGAAGCACCAAAATATTAATACTGGTTATCTGAGTAGTAGGACTCTGAGTGATTTATTTTTTTATATTTATTAGTGTTTCTAAAGTTCTCTATAATAAGAGTATACTTACTCTATTAATCAGAAAACCCACAAATACAGTAATAGAGTTTCTACTCTGTGATCTAGGGTCTTTAAATAACAATCAGTATGCTTTCAGAAGACCATAAATGTGGGAAACAAGTAGATATCTTTTTTCTCTCCATCCTGCACTGCTTTTTTCTCATCCCACTCCTCCAACCCTTCTATTTCAACTTTCTTCACATCACTGTGCCATAACCCCATAGCTAGACATACCGAGAGACTGAAGTGTAATTATTCAATATTTTAAAAATTTAAAATTGGTTAAATAGTTTAATTTATCTTAGAACACATAAAAAGGAGGTAAAATAGCCTAATGGTTAAGAGAACAGGCTTCAAAATCAGACAAATGTAGGTTTGAATCTTAGTTTGCCACTTAGAGGACCTCACACAAGTTTCAATTTCCTTAACTGTAAAGTGAGAGTACCACCCTTCTTACTAAACTCCTGCGAGGATGAAATGAGAGAATGCATAAAAAGCATAAGATAGTAGTAGGCACTCAATAAAAGGTAACTGCTGTTACTGTTTTGTAGTTAATGCTACAGTTGCTTTTGGTAAACAGCCCTTAAATTTTAATTTTCCTGTGGGAAAAAAGGCTTAGTGGAGTACAATGGTTGTTCACAGTCTTTTGGACTTGTCAGACCACTAAAATTTCAAAAACAATTGGGGAGACCTATATGGAGCCGTCAAAATGTTCTTTACAAAGTGAGTGTTATTAAAACCCACCAACAAATTTATCAGGACTATTTTTTCATATAAGAAAAAGCCCTTGAACATCCCCTAAAAAAAGTGGAAGACAGTCTCAGAGTAAAAGAAATCGTTCCCAAGAAAGGACAGTTGGCAACTGCATGACAAAATTATCCTTATTTTTTTTGTTTTGTCACATACCAGTAAACACTTAAGGACCAACACCAGTATGCAAACTGGCAGCCTGATCCTTCAACCATAAATTAAGTTGTTTTATCTACCTCATGGGATATTCATTCAACAAACACTAACAACTTGCTATTAAGCAGAGGAATTCAGGATCAAATAAAGTACATAAAAACACCATACACAGTGCCTTGTATATTACAAAGCACCATTAAAATATATAATATTTTAAAAAATAAATAAATAAAATATACAATATTCTTATTACAAAAAAATACAAATACTATAAATTGATTCCTAAGAGAAAAAAAATTTTCCACCCACTTGTTTTAAGGGCTTAATCATTTTCTATATTCATGCTATCACAAAAGACATTAAGGAATTATTAGAATGAAGATTTTCCATATTTTTTCTTCAGAAAATAGTCATATTTGTGATGTAGCTCATGACTCTGCCATTCTCTGTCTTATGGGAACTGAGGATGTTACTTTTCCCTCAGATGGTATGACTCTCAAGGGAAAGTTATTAAGCTAGAAATTGCTGCTATAATTATCAGATTGTAGAAGCTGAATACTAAGGAAGAAAATTTAACATGATCTAAAAGTTAGGTTCAGACACAGAGCAAATTTTATTTTCTTAGTTTTGAAAGTATTATAAGATTTTCCAGTGTTAAAATTTACTTTCAAGTATGATGATCAAGAAATAACAAGACACCAAACTTAGAAATTAAACAGTTTTTAATTTTCTCTGTTGTTTCTTGATCCACTGAAAATAATTTCTCAATGTAACACATTTAGGCAGCTTTTTTGTCACTTTCTTCGGGTTCTACTTCTTTAGGCAATAATGACTCGATCTTTAGTAACAAACCTTCACTTGTTGAACTTCGAAGGAAAGCACGTACCACAAAGGGTCCTGAAAACAAAGACAAGAATCAATTTTCATTTTATTCCATAGATACCTAATGAGCAAATACAAACATACAACAAGAAACTTTATAGGACTCGTGTTATATTTTCACTTGAAAAGTACTGATATTACTGAACTATTATTTTGAATTATAACAAAGGGAAGATCGCTTCATTTCTAGAGTAGAAGACAAACTAGCTGTACCATAGTATATGAGAGATTTACAGATGGAACTACACATATTCACTAATAATTCATTTCTCTCTTTCAGAAGGTGATCACCTAGAATTTATTTCATTGCAAAGTCAACAGTAAAGGGAACAGGTGATGATATTTACATTTGATGGCAAGATTCTAAATATTTATTTAAAACAGCACAGATGCTAACTCTGTGTTACCAAACATTTAGTAAAATTCCTTAAAAATTAAAAAGCGTTTCATAAGAACAATGTTAAGGGACCCTCAGTTAAAATGGCAAAGAGAAGGTAACTACATTGCTTTTAGAGATTTACTGTTCATCATTCTACTCCTGATATAGGTTCAGAGGCTCCTATACTCAAAACAAAGTTCTCCATGAAAGAGAAGAATCTATACACATACAATCACTAAGTACTATGGCCATATCTAGCACAACAGAATTAACAAATGAGGTATTTATTCATCAGTGTGTTTAACTCCCAAAGAAGGTTAAACATAACGTGAGATTGTGTTTTAATTATACACTTGGTTTATAAAATGAAACATGGCAGAGTCCTATAATAGTAAGCCTGTAAGTGCATAGTCAAATGAGGGTTACAGACTCTTGCTTTCAACCAGCGGAAAGAGAACACGTTTGCCTGAGGAAGGACTGTGAATGGCAGGTAATGCAGTGGGTACTACACGTGTTCCTAGCCTATGACACAGCTTCCACATCAAGTTTCACTGTTCTCCACGAATCACCCCATTTATAAATAGTGATTCTTGTGACATGATTAAAAACCTTGTTTCTTTTCTAAAATAAATAAGATTAAGAAAGCCAACTGCTAATACCAGTGACAAAGTGAATGGTCTGGCTTCAAAATATCATCTATCTCATAAATGACTTTAGTTTCTGCTTAAACACTATTGTAAGTTTAAGGCAATCCGTTACAGTTTTCTTTCAAACTTTATTACATTTAACGGTAGAAATAATGTGGGAATTTATAAAGGTTTCACAATGTATTGCTTATTAATGTTAAAGAGGTCTCCTCTCCAAACAACTACAACTTCTTAATAAGGTCATTAGGAATCCTTTGGAGAATTAAGTTGTATTTCTTTAATCCCTGGAAATATTATTGCTATTGCAGTTGCATATTAACTGGATTGTTTTCTTAATATTTTACCTTTTTAAAGTATCACAGAGCTACAAGGAAAGCTACCCCAGGGAACCACTTACCCAAATTCAGCGGTCTTTGCCTACAAACTTCACTGATAACTGCTTGCAGATTGGCAGCTATCTGGTCACTTGACATATCCAGCTGAAAGAAAAGGATATATAACGTTAATGATGTGAAAGTGAGATGATAATACTATTTTTGGTAACTGTATCAGTAGTTGTTCCAGACAGTTTTTTCAAATATTCAACTAGTGCAAATTATGTATTAGGAGACCCTACCGTGAAAGAAAAAAACTTCCATAACTTTTTTCAGAATACTACATTAACATGTCTTTACATGTCAAGACTTAATTACCTTTTAGAACACATTATAGCAAAGTGTTTTAAAGTTGCTCCACTTGCGATTCCTTGAATTCCAAGTAATTTCCCCAAAGCATATCCTGGGGCAGAATACACCATTCCCCCCACCCTTTCCCTACCACCAAGGAATTAGTGATATTTTTTTTTCAAGTTGTTTATTTTTTAAAATAAACTAAGAAAATATTTAGAAGTTAATGCTTTCAAAAGTCTAAAATGAAACTACTTGACAACGCACATTCACATAACGTATCCCACACAGAGGCATTTTCAAGATGCTATGCTAACACTCTAACTCTGCAATAACAATTATCCTGCTACTTAGTAAAAGCTACAGTAAGTAAATGTATAGTGAATGAGCCCTATTCATAAAACACCTAAACCCAGCACACATCTTTGGAAAGTCCTTGAGTTTACCATTCAAATTCAGTGCATGTTATTCTTCTTAAATATACCAGTTAAAATCAGTTCTATTGCATTCCTATGTTTAGAGGATTTTGCACTTTGCCAAATGAATCCAGTTTTTAAAATTCATATAAAACTTATAATAGTGTAATTGGCAAAAATTAGACAGTAAGAGTTCAAACAAGAATTCTATTTTCCAATGACTCTTGAGACCACTGTGAGACATGTAGTACATAAGCATAAAGAGAATTCCTCCTGAAACAAATTATTCTCATCATCATCAGACAACATTTATTCGACATTCACTTAGGCATGATGCAGTATCAAACCCTAAATGAGAAGGCTTGGGCATTACTGGAGGAATTTTCACTTTATGCCAATCCACAAGTGGGAGTTTGGAGAGGGAAAAAAATCAAGCAATGCTTAGTTCTCCTTATTAAATCCATAGAACTTATAGACTTTAAGTTGTATTGAAGTACGTAGTTCACTGACAGACAGGGCACCTTACATTTGCTATGGTAAAAAAAAAGAAAACAAAACAAAACACCAAGAGTATCAACATGTGTCCTTTCATTCCTCTCTTAATTCTCCACTTTCCCTCAAAACGTCCTCCTTTCTATTATCAACTTAAGTAACCAACACAGCTCTAAGGAGTTCCTTTACCCTTTGTAAAGACCTATACCTACCTTAGATTTGGGAAAGCAATAGATACAAGAAAAAGCAAGAGATCCAGTATATCTTCCTTGATAGTTACAAGCTATACTGTTGGACTGTATATACTAAACTTCTCAGATTTTTGTAACTATACTTTCTGCAGACTTATATTGCCATTCTTACAATAACCTAACAACATAGGCTTTAGAAATGCAAAACAAAAAAACCCAAACAACAAGAAGAACAAAAAAGAAATGCAAAACAGATGACTTCAATGGTTTCATTAAGTTTTAAAATATACAAATTGTTTTAAAATATAGTTTAGGGCTTCCCTGGTGGCGCAGTGGTTGAGAGTCCGCCTGCCGATGCAGGGGACACGGGTTCGTGCCCCGGTCCGGGAAGATCCCACATGCTGCAGAGCGGCTGGGCCCGTGAGCCATGGCCGCTGAGCCTGCGTGTCCGGAGCCTGTGCTCCGCAACGGGAGAGGCCACAGCAGTGAGAGGGCCGCGTACCGCAAAAAACAAAAACAAAAAAACCCAAAAATATAGTTCACACTTTTGTCCAAATTTTAGCACCTCTAATTATCAGTACTATGTCCTCTACTGAATCTTAAAATATATTTTTAGCCATAATACCTCACTTTACTTTTTCTTTTAGATATTTTGTAAAATTATGAAAAAGATATATTTTATGGGCATAACTTGGATTACACAATTGACTACTGATGACAAAGAGCTATGTAAAAAAAAATGTATGCATGCATGCATGCATTTTATCAAAACTTGCATAGGAAATTTATTTGGGCCGACAATGATCTAGAGATAACTCAGGAAAGCAACATTTACAAGCTTCTCCATCTATATCTCAGTTGCTCTGTTCTTCCAGTAGTGCTTTTCCACACCGTAACATTCTGTGGCCTGACAAAGGTAAGGAGGACCATTTTGAGGATATATCATCTGTTAGATTCTCAATAGCAGAGCATTAGACTTGGCAAAGCAGGAAAAAGGTGGGGGCTGGGGGAGTGGAAGGGGTTGACCTTGAAGGCGATATTGAACTCTGTTAAGCACTGTATTTGTGTGTGTACATATGTGTGTATTTGAATATATAATAGTCACAACAGTACCTATGTTTAGCTAAAGTGATTGTCCACTACAGGGCAAAATAGTTATTCCTTGCTCTGTAGCATAAATGTTTTTAAGAAAAGACTGATTTACTGAATCCTCCCTTCTGCTTAACATCCTTATTATATCAGAAATAATTCCCGAAGCAGACTAGATGGAAGACTTCCCAAAGATGTCAGGGAGGTGGCTCAATCGATACAGCTGATTTGCTTTAACTCTCAGGTTTTCCTCTTTCTATGCAATTCCTAACCTTTGTTTTCAATCGCTCTCTACCATTATGAGAAAACTAAAAAACTGTGGTCCTTAACCATTGTTTGTCCCTTTGAGATGCAGACATATGCAGGATAAACTATAGTCATGAGAGTGTCTAAGACAGTGATTCCTAAACTTTTTTCGGGTTATCAAAACTTGCACCAGAAAAATGCACACAGGCACACAAAAATTTTAGCCTATGCTTTTAGGGTCTTCGAGGATTCTTTGAATAAAAGAAAGGGGAAGAGAGAAGAAAGGCTCCTGAGGAAAGGGGCTCAAGTTAAAAGGGCTACACTCTGAAAACCATCAGTGTCGCTGTTTAATTTGGCTCAAATACTTTGAAGTACTAAGGACAACAGTATGGAAAAAGGATTCAACTTAATTTTCTACATTTTACAGAGGACAAAAATAAAAAGAAAAAGCAAAGTGTGTGTGCATAGTTTTTAAACAATCATATTTTCCACCTCAAGTGGCCAGCTTCTGTCACTGTAAATGTTGTAACAGCCTCTAGATGACTGATCATCTCTAGCTGGGAACTGCAGAGAGGACTGCTGCTTTGGATAAGCACTTGTTAGAACACCTGACCTCCAAAACCCCTTCCAAGTGCAATGTTCTAGGGTTACAAATAGGGTAGCCTGGCAATGGTTTCTGCAGGTGGGCCAACACTCAATTCCCTTGACTCCTGAAAGTCTAAACCAAGAAAAGGAAGACAAGACAGTCTGTGTATCTCCTATACATTAAGTAACAGTAGTAGTAGAAGTAGTAGCAGCAGCAGTGGCAGCAGTAATAATAATAGTAATAATAATACTAGAGCAGCTCTATTTATTGGGTGCTTACTCTAAGACAAACTCTGTTCTAAGCATTACATAGATATTCTCATTCATTTCTCCCACGTATCCTAAAAGATGGGAACCATTATCATTCCTCTTTTTTTTTTTTTTTTTGCAGTACGCGGGCCTCTCACTGTTGTGGCCTTTCCCGTTGCGGAGCACAGGCTCCAGACGCGCAGGCTCAGCAGCCATGGCTCACGGGCCTAACCGCTCCACAGCATGCGGGATCTTCCCAGACCAGGGCACGAACCCGTGTCCCCTGCATCGGCAGGCAGACTCACAACCACTGCGCCACCAGGGAAGCCCTATCATTCCTCTTTTACAATTAGAAACTGAGACTTAGAAAACTTTGTAACTTATTCAAAAGCACGCACATGATAAGGAGTGGCTCAGCAGCTATGTGCATGAGCTCTAAAGGCAGAGAAATGTGACTTTGAACCCCATTTCCACCATTTATTAGCTTGTAACCCTGGACACAGCTAGTAAGTGTTGGTAATCCTTAATGAAAATTAAAGTGTCAGTTGTCTGGGAAACACAAATGAGTTGGTAATAAACTAAGGGGAGAAAAAGAGGAAACTAAGTGAAATACTGAAAGGGAAAGAATATACATTTAAGTGGGAAAAATATGAATTTTTCTTTGCACCTAATGAATCCTTTCCTACCTTCCCAGTTTTTAGATGTTAACGGCGTACAATTCAGCAACATTTACTTGGCCTTCACTCTTTGTTGGGCAACATGCTGGGGACTAGGAACAGAAAGATGAGTAAGATACAAACCTTAACGTCAAGGAGCTCACCATCTGGTCACTAAAATACAACATGACAGGTGCTACTCTAATCAAATGAACAAAGTGCCACAAGGGTAGAGAGGAAGAAGTGACTGCCTTTGGCAGAGAAGGCTTCACAAAGGTTGTATTTTAAATGAGTCTTAAAGGATGAAGAATTCTGAAGGACAAAGAGGATCTTCTAGGCAGATGGAGCAGCAAGAGGTAATGTGAGAACAGGTGGATCAGGTGACCAGAAGGCAGCTCACTATATCTAGGCCCAGGGTTGCAAACTCAAATGGCTACAGTGGCCACAGCAGGTAACATGCATGATTGAAGAGGACTGGGTTTGAGTGCATATGCATACAGGACCCACGGGGCACAGGCTGTGCATAGGTGGAGAGCACTGCTCCATAGGGAAGAGGCAGCAGCCACTGAGTGCTAACAGAATGTTACACTGAGGGCTCTGAGGCCGGTTTACCAGAACTCTTGACTGGTGAAGAACAACTAGAAACCTGGATTTCTATGTGACATTATCTAGTTTTTAAATGCTGAATCAATAAAACAGAACAAGTCTGGGGGCCAAACTCAGCCTGTAAGCTGCCAATTTGTAACTCTAGACTTCAAGCTGCATCACTGAAAATAACAGGAAATCCTGAATTTGAACTTGACATAGTGATTTGACACTAAATTATAAAAAGATTTGAATGTACAGCTAAAGATTTTAGAATATATTCTGTCAACAGTGAGAAGCTACTT